GCTGACTGTCCGCCCTCCTTTTAGATGTACTATTAGTACTCTCGATGGCACGCGGTCCCAGCAGCGGGAAGTCTCCTGCTGTTATTCGGTGCTCCGAAGCGTCCGTTTTTTTTTCCATTGGCGACATTTAACCACATACGGTTGCTTGTACTTGTTCTTACAATTCCGCTCTCCAGTCAGATGAGGTCCCCCGCAAAGCTTAAATTTTGGCTGGCATGCGAGCTCGTGCCCCTCCTCCGGGTCTACCTTCCCACAGTCAAAGCAGAACCTGTTGCCTGGGTTAGGACAGACGTCCCTTCTGTGTCCTAGTTTCAGTCTTGGGTAGTAACGTGTTACTAGTAACGCGTTACTGTAACTTCGTTATTTTTTTGGTAACTTGTAACAGTAACGAGTTACTTTTTAAAAATGTAACTTGTAACTGTAGTTCTCTTACTTTTTTGAGGTAACGATGAAAGTAACACTTTCGTCGTTACTTTCCAATTTTTTTTTTATGAATAATATGTAATTGAACGAGTACAATCAAGCTATTCCTTGCACTTTGCATATTGTCCGTTCCAACATTTCGAGTGTCATGTTTGCCTTGTACAAACTTGTGAATACGTTCTTTCTCGGGAGTCATGACCCGAATATAGCCACGTGTAGATTTGATGAAAAAAATATTATTATTTTTACGCACGCGCTTGTACTTTATGACTTAACACTTACATCTAAGTAACTTGAAGCACTATCTATGTTGCGGTTTCTCTTTTTTCTGCGCAAATACTTTTTAATCCGGTGAATCAACCGTAAAACAACAATTCACGCGGAGGGCGCCACCCATGTTTCGTATTTTGATTAGCGCCATTACTCCGCACTGCGCATGTTTCGTATCTTGATTTGCGACACTACTCCGGCGTAAGGTCAACAGTCAAGATTTTCTGCTGTTTGCGCGGGGTTTACTTCTAAGTTGCCGGGTGCGAGCAGAAAAAAAAATTGGTTTGCTCTTTATGTTTATACAGCCTTGATGGAGATGCGCCTCAACGGGTAATCGGTCTCTTAGCTGTAGATGAGAAATTTAGCCAGTGCGGTACAGCCGCTAACCTGGGATTTTTAACGTGCATCACGCAGTAATGATCACACGAACGCGTGCCGGTACGAAACTCATCCAGATCGAAACGGGCGGGGGCGGCGGGGATCGAACCCAGGAGGTTCCCAGCGCAAGCTTTCGCTCCACGCTCCGAGCTGAGACGCGTTAGCCCACTCGGCCACTTCCTCCCTTTGCAAGCAGAAATATGTCCAGGAACTTTATAAACCCAGCAAAACCGTCAGCGAGCCAGGAATGTGCTAGCCCTGCCAAGGATAGGAATGTTGATGAGCACAAAGAATAACTACCATGGCCGGCGTACAGGGAACATTTTGCTGTGGTGAATGTGGTCGCTAACAACTTGACCGCAGTATGCAAACTTTGCAAGAAGGAGTACTCTACCAGCCAGTCGTCGTGTTCAAATCAGAGAAAACACCTCGAGGTGAGTTTTGGCGTTTATTCTTTTTTCAGCTGAACTATAATGTTTGAATTTATTGCTATGGTGGAAGTCTGACTGATTCGTGTGTATATATAATGTTTTCTTTTATTCACAATTTTTTCTTGTTTTCCACGGAGTTTAGAAAAAGCATTACTTGGCACTTCAAGAAATTGACACCCGGAAGCGCAAATGGGATTCTTCAGCACCCTCCCCTTCAGCAAAGAAAACTGCAAGTGAAAATAAAAAAAACTCGGGACTTTCTTCTTTGCGGACAACAGCAACGCTCGACAACGAATTCCATCTCAAGCGGAAGTAGACCATTTGGTGCTCAACTTTGTTATTGGAAATGTGAAGTGCTTTTCCGTTGTTGAAAGCAAGCAATTTCAAGATCTTGTACACGGCTTGCAACCAACACGAACTGTTATGACCCGGAAAACTCTGGTAGCTCACAGCGACAGATTGCACAAAGAGAGGAAAGCTGCTTTGGTCAAGGACCTTGAAGAAACCACCGTCGTTTGCTGTACAGCAGACTGCTGGACGGCAGCAAATCGGCAAGTTGTCTTAACTCCTTAACTCGTCCTCGAAATCTCATCCGCAGTCCTTTTCGTGTTTTTTTAATAATATTCTTCTTTATTTTAGAAGCTTCCTTGGCGTGACAGTTACTTACCTTGACGGTGAAACCTTGGCCAGAAATTCAGCTTCACTGGCCTGCCGACGACTTCATGGCCGCCACATATACGACAACCTCGCTTCTTCTCTGCGTGGTATTTTTGCGGAATATAAGCTGACAAATAAGATCTGTGCAGTCGTCACCGACAATGGCTCTAATTTTGTTAAGGCATTCAGGTAGGCTGAACTTGCAAGCAGAACATATAACGGTTTTGTTGCTTTTTTGTGCGATATATCGTGCGTTCGTTGCTTGCTTGTTTTCCAGGCACTTCGGAGACAGTTCACAGGACAGTGAGGATGAAGGCGGTGTGGTGGCCCCCTTCAGCATCACAGAGGTACTAAACGAAGATTCTGCACAGAATGCTTCTATGGATGTAATTCACTTGCCAGCACACCGAAGGTGCGCCGTCTATACTCTGAATCTTATTGGAACTGTGGACCATGAGAAGGGGTGCAGTGATCGTTTCTACTGCAGCATTGCAAGTGCCGCTTTTGCTAAACTTAAATCTATTTGGAACAAGCAAGGACAGTCTGTCCTTGCAGCTGAATCTATCAAGGAAAAATTAGGAAGGTACTTTCCAGTCCCTAACACGACAAGGTGGAACTCTCTGCACGACGCCATGAGGTTCATCGACGACACTCCGAAATTCAAGATCGACGCTGTGTGCGATGTCTTATCGTTGCCGCGACTGCAAAGGAACGATACTGTTTTTATTGCTGAGTACTGCCAGGTATGTTTACGGTGTTTATTTTCAAATATTCGTGTGAATAACCTATTACACCTTATATCTCTTTATCCGACCATGAAAGGAGTCGCCAGAGCCCTTGACATTCTTCAAGGAGAAAAGTACATGTTTATGGGAGCTTTATTGCCAACTCTGCAATCCCTCTTGCGACACCTACATTCAATGCCTGAATTAATGTTCTGTGGGCCGCTCGTGAAAGCGCTCAAGCTGGCTGTCAAGACAAGGCGAGTGTTATTTTAAATTTCTTATTAATGCAATATTGTATAGCTCACTGTGACGATACGGATATACTCTGCTTCCCCTTGCGTCCAACGGAAGCAAATTCTGTCTTGTATTTCGTACCTTTCGTAACCGTCTCTATTTTTAGGTTCGCTGAAGACTTCAACTGTGACGAACTTCTGGTTGCCATAGCACACCCCAAATTTAGGTTGTCATGGATAGATGACAACGACCAACGTGATTTCGCACTCAGAATGTTAGGTGACGAATGTAAAAGAGAAGGCGCTGCTGTCAGCGCAGATGAAACATTGACAAAAACGTCAACCGACGATGATGACGACGATTCTTTTTTCCAACTACGCCCCAACGTTGTGTCTACCAGTGAGGCGCAACGGAGGGGAAATGAAACTTCGGAGGAAACGACACTCTGTTGCCTCAACGCCTACCCGGCAATCAAAAGCCTGTTCCTGCGACACAACACAGCAATTCCATCCAGCGCGCCAGTTGAACCCCTGTTCAGCAAGGGCAGGGACGTATTCGCCATCAAACTAGGGAAACTATCTGGCTCAAATTTCGAAAAGCAACTGCTCCTAAGTTATAATATGAAGTAAAAAGTGTACTTTTTTTTAATTTTATGCAAATAAACTTGGTAAAAAGCGTTTTCTAGTTTTTCCTAATTTTTTTGTGTTATAGAAAAGTAACTGAAAAGTAACGTCGTTACTTTTTAAAAGTAACTGTAACTATAACGAGTTACTTTTTTGTTACAGTAACTGTAACGGTAACTTAACTACTTTTTTCTGAAAGTAACTGTAACTGTAACGAATTACTTTTTAAAAGTAACTTACCCAAGACTGCCTAGTTTACCACACGCCCTACAGACGTCGAAATGTTTGCGATATAGCCCGAATTTCATCAACACTATTCCGTACTTGATGTAGTGCGGTACCTTGTTACCAGCGAAAAGCACTACCACTGCGGTGGAGTCTCCGATCCGGTGTGCTTCTACGGCCGTGGGATTGTACTTATTGACGATATTTAGGGTAATGTCCTCTGCCGTTTCTTCGATGTTTATGGCTCTCACAACTCCCTTAACTGTCCCGTCAGGCGCCGTTCTATAAGCGCTGGCCTCGTACGTCTTGCCTCCCTCTTCGATTGTCGTCATTCTAGCGTACCGCGTAGCTCGCTGTTCGTCTGGAGTACTGACCACGATGATGTTCTGCTGGGCATTTATGCCGACCGTGTCCTCGCTTGCCTCCTCTCTGGTGACCTTCGCCGCCCTTGTAATCGCCGCCATGGCGGCCGGGCCCCCCATCTTTGCAGCGTGAAGTCCGCCACGCGGTCTGACTACGATCTTAATGTCCTCCTTCGGCATGCTAACTGGCATCCTTGCTCCCTTAGTGATTGCCGACGTAATTTTCTTGACGTAGTTAACCCTAGTTCTGGGTCTAGATTGGCGTTGAGTTGCATCGGACTCACAGCCGGACGTGCCGTTCACGATCTCCTTGATTCTCTTGCCCAAGACTTTCCATCCCTCGGTCTCACCCGGAGAGATTCGTTCCCCGGGTACCTCGACGAACGTACGCCCGTCCACGTTGCCGATTCTGATTCCCGGAGAAAAGCTCACCGGAGAAAAGCTCACCGGAGAGAAGCTCACCGGAGAAAAGCTCACCGGAGAAAAGCTCACCGGACCAATGGAGAAGGCGGAGAAAAGCTCACCACGCTCAATGAGTGACTCGTCTATTTTCACTTCCACATATTATTTCCGCATTAAAGAGCGAAAGTGATTTTGCACAGAGGAGTCATAAATTGAATGATTTGCGTTTATTTTCTCTCAAACATGAATTATTTTTTTCATACACGAGCGTTAGAATTGAATACAATTTCCGACCGCTTCCAGAAGGGCTGGAACTTGTTTGTGCTCAAGATAGTCCAGGCAGATGTTCCTGAGGCGGTCCTGTAGGCGCCTTGTCGCCCTTTTGGTCTTCTTCGTCGGCGGTTCCCCACGGCTTATTTGCAGCAGCATTAACTCCGATAGGGCTTGATCTTGTTGCAAGCAGTCGATCAGCTTCCATATACTGGGCTGGCTGTGCCCGACAAGCTTCCTAAACCCGCTGTTCCATCCTTCGCATGCATTATTTGTGCGGTCTTCGTTGTTTAATGTGGCTTCTAACACGTTCCACACTGTCGGCGGAAACTCGGGGCGTCGTCGGCGCATCGTTGTGGTTAATGCGCCATCGGCTACTCTCGATGACACTGCTCGGAACGTTCCGTTTACATACGTCGCGTCAAAATAGTCGATGAGGTCATCGAGGTCTGTTGGAGCCTGACCACGGATGTAGTCCAGCCCAACTGGAACAAGGTCGGGAGGGAGGAATGCGAGGCCGTCTAGCATTCCACACATCTTCTTGAACCTGTCGTCCGTCTTGTACCTGCTGATGAGGCCCAGCTCGCGTACCTTGAAAAAGAATAGAACAAAAAGAGATACGATGAGATCCTGATGCGGTTGCATTAATTGAGTTTGACGTAGAGGCTATATCTTGGTACTGGGGAGCTAAGCACTTCAAAATTAGTCAAATGCCTTTTCTTTGTTTTTGATGTCATATCATAGGTTTTATGTTGGTTGGCCATAGATGGTTGGTACTAGAGGCGTCCATATTTCTTTTCAAGATTATTTTGGGAGTAACGTTACCTTGCGGTGGGTACTCTGGCAGAGGTGAAAGAAGCAGCCTTTCGTGGTTACATCTTCTCCGAAGACCGCTTTCGACGCTCTTATGGCGGCCATCTCATAGTCGCTAATGATGATCTCAGGGTATGGAGCATAACCGTTCGCTTCACGCGTGTCCAAAATCGCTTGAAAAAGCTCTTCGTATATGGAGAAGGTTTTGCCTGGGAGCAGAGCATAAACGCACGCCACGGTGCTCTCCCCAGCTGTACACCTCATAACGTACAACTGTTTAAACAGTCTTGGGCACACCGAGAATGTTCCATCCATGTACCAGGTTCGGCTTGTTGATAGTGCCCGCAGCTGTTCGTGGCTTGCAAAAACGAGCATGCGGTCTCGCCTCTCCGGCCCGTTGTCATAGATCAAAAACGGTTGCTTTTCCGGCCCTCCGGTCATTGTCCAGGTATCTCGTAATTGAATATCAGCAGTGGTCTGGGGTTCCGGCGAACGCACCTTACTTCTTTGCTGGCGCAGGTCACGACGAATAGTCTCGAGGCTACCGATGCTTTCGCGCACGGATGTTGTTGAATTGCTCAAAGCCTGAGCAAGCAGACGGCTAGGAGGTTCTGCGGTCTCTACAGCTTTCCTTTTTAGCTGGCTCCTTAGTTTGGTGACATCAGAAAGGCCATGATTGTTTGCATGATTGTGCTCCTGCACTGACCAAAAGCGGGTAATCTGCGTTTAAAAATGACAAAAATTTGTGTCAGCAATAATGTATATGTAACTCTAAATGTAAAAACGAAAGAAGGTTTTACGTAAAAACGCTTGTGCAAATAAAGTGAAACATTACTGCAAAACTTGCACACAAGCGAAAAGTATGATATTTCGTACTTACATCAAGATTGGTGGTGATGGCTCCCTTGCAGCAACCTGTTCGTTGGTACCGGCACTGCCAGCGTATCCAGTCGTTTCTTGTAACTTTCATACAATATTCGTACCCATCTAGAAGCACTTTCTTCTTTCCCTTATTGGTCAGAATGACCTCCATGACACAAGGAAGGCAGGACTGGTCACTTGATAGGAGGTGCTGTTTATATATGCAATTTCCTTTAGCTCCTCTTGCGTAACCATACAGCTTCTGACCAATAAAAAAGCAGACTGTATTTCTCACAAAGAGAGCGGAGAAATACTTGTTCCCAGAAAAAAAAATGGGAAACAATAGGAATGCCCTACAATGTCAAGGTCTTCAGCCACAGCGCCAGTCAGAAGGATGTTATACATAAAAAAGACAGAAGAACCATGTAAGAGAGGGTAAAAGCGCTAAAACGTACAACACAGAGCGCTACTTGCAACTGAAGTTTATTCCCAGGAAACACACATATATACACACCGTGAAATCGCGATATGTACTTTAGAAATGCGACATCACCCCCTCATCGCTCGTCTGTCCGCTATCTATTTTACAAAAGATTTCAAAAACGCCATCTCAGAGCCAAACAGGGCTATAGATGGGGCGATGTTTGGCTCTGAGATGGCGTTTTTGATGTTTGGCTCTGAGATGGCGTTTTTGAGCGCCCCATCTATAGCCCTGTTTGGCTCTGAGATGGCGTTTTTGAAATCTTTTGTAAAATAGATAGCGGACAGACGAGCGATGAGGGGGTGATGTCGCATTTCTAAAGTACATGTCGCGATTTCACGGTGTGTATATATGTGTGTTTCCTGGGAATAAACTTCAGTTGCAAGTAGCGCTCTGTGTTGTACGTCTCTAACTTGTCCGTTGTTTTCAGCGCTTTTACCCTCTCTTACATAAAAACGCAACAAACCAAAAGTTTTTTTGTCGTTTCATTCAGTTTCGGCAGAAAAAAAAGAAAACAAGTAGGAATAATGATTATTTCTGGCAGTCTTAGTGAACTTTTTTACTTGCACCAAAATCTAAGTGAGCTTTTCTCCGCATTTGACACTTTTCCGGTGAGCTTTTCTCCGGTGAGCTTTTCTCCGGTGAGCTTTTCTCCGGTGAGCTTATCTCCGGTGAGCTTATCTCCGGTGAGCTTTTCTCCGCTCCCCGCCGATTCTAGGCACCGTCTGCTGCGTCTCCTCTGGCGTTGCGGTGGCCGGTTGTTCGACCAGCATCTCGAACATGGCAGCCTTCGGGTTAGGCCTAATGGCCGGCTCCGATGGCCGCGCTCGACCTAGGCCTACTTTAGGCTTAGCGGGGTGCCTCCGCCGCCCCGGGTGAAAGGTCCACGAATTGGGGAAACTTCACGTACCACTTGGGAAAGTCCGGTGTCTTTCGATAGTCCACACCTTCGCGCACACGTGAGAACCAAAATCCGGGTGAAATGGATTAATTGGCACCGCGTAAATTGGCTTTAACTCAGGAGCCGATGTGGAAACGTGTCCGCTCCTCTCGGCGACCGCAGCGCCCTCTCTAGTTTAAAATGTGAAATGAAGGATTCAGACATCGTTTTTCAAGAGACAACAACAACAACAAAAAAACAAAAAAAAACACAAGGAAGTGTGTTAGTGAAGGCGAGCGGGTTGAACATGAATACATAAAATTGAAAGAATAAAACACAGAGGACAAGCACAGGACAACCACTTTCTTTCATTTAGCAACGACGTTTATTTTGGACAAAGACATTGCACCCTGAGCGAGACCCCGAGAAGATAGGTTGATGAGGGGGAAGGCTAACAGGGAGATGGAACGGGTGATATGGGGGACGGAAAGGAAACCTGGGAGATGGAAAGGTGATAAAGGGGAAGGGAAACTGGGAGATGGAAGGGGTGATAGGAGAAGGAAAGGGAGAACCACGAGGCACGAGCAGAACTACCGTGATATTGTGCGTTTACGGGGAGTTGCGATATTTTTCAAGTTCAGGCTTGAGGAATTCTAATTCCCGTCTTGAAAACGTTACTGAGGCCGATGAAACCTTGTTTTCTGCGTTCTGGATGAGGAAAGATTCGATGATTTTACGTTTTCCACCAACTTATTAGCCCAAAAGCAACTACAAAAACGCCTTTCAGTCGAAGGATAGCCAGCATACCTTACATTCATAATGTTTCCCATCGTAACCGATCCATTGCATCACGCTATGACACGAAAGTTGTCTTTTCCAGTAGATTCAAAATGGCAAGCATGTGCAACATGATCAACCGACAAGAAGCCAAGCCTGCTAGCGAAAAAAAGCACGCCACCCTTTTCCGGACCTGCTGCACAGAAAAAGTTTACTCCATCCCTCTCAAATGCGGTGCCGAGTACATAGGAGAAACCGGCCGATGTATCAATGACCGCTTGAGAGAGCACGACAACGAGGCCACTTCAAGAACCGACAACCCCATTCATCCGATCGCGGTTCGCGCGAACGAATGCCTTGGATGCGCGCCTGACTTCGCAGGAACCAAGACAAGAGGGGGGCACCGCAATCGCCACGGACGTGAAATCATCGAATCTTTTCTTATCCAGAACGCAGAAAACAACGTTTCATCGGAATCAGTAACCTTATCAAGACGGCAATTAGAATTCCTCAAGCCTGAACTTGAAACATATCGCAACTCCCCGTAAATACACAACATCACGGTAGTTCTGCCCGTGCCTCGTGGTTCTCCCTTTCCTTCTCCTATCACCCCTTCCATCTCTTAGTTTCCCTTCCCCTTTGTCACCTTTCCATCTCCCAGGTTTTCTTTCCGTACCCCATACCTCCCTTTCCCTTTCTCCCTGTTAGCCTTCCCCCTTATCAACCTACCTTCTCGGGTCTCGCTCAGGGTGCAATGTCTTCGCCCAAAATAAACGTCGTTGCTAAATGAAAGAAAGTGGTTGTCCTGCGCTTGGCCTCTGTGTTTATTCTTTCAATTTTATGTAAGTGTGCTAGCTCGCCGTTATCTTGCACACGTCATCAGCACACGTTACTTTCAGAAACGGCGTCTGTTCAGCCTTACGAGCAAATGTGCTACCATTTCGGAGCCAAATGAATTTCCAGTTGCATTCCTTTTTTTTGCGACAGTCACTCCCAGCAGTTTCTTTAGAGCGGGGCACAGGTGCTCGTTCACATAGACAGAACTACCCGAACTAATGCCAAGGGCTTCGCAAGTGACGGGTCGTTTTTTGGCATGCCGAAGGAAGTTATCTCGCCTGTCCCGGCGTATGAACTGAACAACATGTTCCTAGCCGTGCTGTTCGGAACGGGCACACGGTGACACACCTCGATATCAGTTTCAGGTATGGGCGCGCCCAATCACGACTCCCAGTTTTCCCACGATGTCAAGCAAGTTTTCATTTTGCTGGGGTGGGATTCTTATTATCTCAACATTTCGATTTCGGCTGTATTGCTATCAATTTACAAGCCAACTTTCACTCTCTCTGGTCTGCTGATACAATTGCTTGCATTCCGATCGAAGTTCGTTGTTTTCCTCCCTGAGCTCCGCATTTTCCTTTATTGTTGCATTTAGGTTATCCTTCATTTCCTCGAACGTTTTGTTAATAAATTCCATACTTGCTTTCACTTCCCTTAACACTCCGCGCAGCTCTCTTTCAATCGTGCTTTTTAATTCTTTGTGCTCTTGCCTCAGTTCTCGCTTAAGGTCTTCAAATAGTTTTGCCATTTCCTTAGCCATTTCTCGTTTATCACAAGGGGTTGTTTGCTTAGAACGTCACAAAAAATCTGTGATGCACCTTGAAACAGAAGACACAAATACACGGTTTGCAGGTACAAAGCACAGACGTGCTGTGTTCGGCAGCAGTAAAAAAGAAGAAAAAAAATAAAGTCTCTCAAATGCAAAGCAGATAAGACAGAAATTAGATGCTTGTTAGTCGAAGATCTGCTGCCGAACTGCGACGGGCGTGGTGGTGGTGGTGCGCCGTTTAGGTTTTACGTCGCCTAGGTTAGCCTAGCCCCAATTAGCTGGCATGGGCAGGTGACGAGCTCTTAAAGAGCTGTTAAAAAAAAAAACAAAAAAAAACATTATTTTGTTATGTTTTAGATACAACTACAGTCGG